AGATTGACAAAATGTTTCACATCCTTGAATTATATACCAGGTCAAGAATGGGGGTTGAAGAGTGTTGCAAAAAGAGACTGCAGGGCTACTTATATTTAATAAAACCAGCAATATCAAGAGAGTTATCATCTCACTTCCAATTTCTTCCCCTCAAGAACAATTTGAATCTCTTTGGCATCCAAAATCTCATAGGTCAACAACACATCTGCTAGATTTTTATGCTCTTTCGCATAAGTTTTCAAGATATGTTTTGCTCGTTCATATGACTCCTGAAAAAGAAAAGTAAGTCAGAAGAAAATGTAGAGATGCAATGACCATAGGTAAGGAGAAAATAAAACCAATGTGGTTATAAAATATGTTTATTTACATTAAAATAAAAAAAGTATTTAAAAGCTTTGTTCTAAAATATAATTGTTTGTACATAAGAATATAAATACATAGAATGTAGCTGTTGGTTTACTGTATATTGCTTTTATTATATTCAGGTATGTTCCTGTTATCCCTGATCTCTCTATGACCTTTATCATGAAGGGGTGCTGAATTTTGTCAAAGGATTTTTCAGCATCTAGTAATTTGATCATGTGGTTTTTCTTTTGCAGTTTGTTTATATGGCGGATTACATTGATAGATTTTCTAATGTTGGACCATCCCTGCATTCCTGGGATGAAGCCTACTTGATCATGGTGGATGATTTTTCTGATGTGTTCTTGAATCCGGTTTGCGAGTATTTTATTGAGTATTTTTGCATTGATGTTCATGAGGGAAATTGGTCTATAGTTCTCTTTCTTAGTTGTGTCTTTGTGTGGCTTGGGTATCAAGATAATTGTAGCCTCGTAAAAAGAGTTTGGCAGTGAGTTTCCTGCTTCTATTGTGTGGAATACTTTGAGGAGTATTGGAATTAGCTCTTTGAATTTCTGGTGGAATTCTGCACTGAAACCATCTGGGCCTGGGCTTTTTTTGTTTGGGAGACTTTTGATGACTGCTTCTATTTCGTTAGGGGTTATAGTCTGTTTAGATTGTTTATCTGCTCTTGATTTAGTTTTGGCAAGTGATATCTATCCAGGTAATTGTCCATTTCCTTTAAATTTTTGAATTTTGTGGAGTACAGATTTTCAAAATATGCCCTGATGATTCTCTGGATTTCCTCAGAGTCAATTATGTCCCCTTTTTCATTTCTTTTTTATCATTTTTTTATTTTAATTTTAAATAGCTTGTTTTACATGTCAATCCCAGTTCCCTCTCCCTCCCCTCCTCCCGCACTGCCCTCCCCCCCCCCCAGGCTCCCACTCTATTGCCAAATCCTTCCACATAGGGGATATCTAGAGTCTTTCATTTCACTCTTGGTAGGGTCCAGGCACTCCCCTAAGAGTCCAGGCTGAGAGAGCATCCCTCTTTGTGCTATAGGCACACGAAGACTGTTTGTATTCCAGGGATAGACACTGATCCACAGCTCAGGGCCCCATAGGTTGCCCAGGCCTTCTCGCTGACACTTACATTTGGGGGATCCAGATCAGTCCCATGCTGGCCTCCCCACTGTCTCTCTGGGGTCCAAGAGCTCTCCCCTGTTCAGATCAGCTGTCTCTGCTGGTTTTGCCAGCCCATTCTTTGCCAATTTGCTCATCACTCCTCTCTCTCTGTCACTGGGTTCCTTGGGTTCAGTTCAGTGATTAATTGTGTGTCTGCCTCTGCTTCTATCAGTCACAGGATGAAGGCTCCCGGATGGTTATAGACATCAAGTTCATTATCAGGAATGGGCATTCGAGGTGGTCTCTCCACTATTGCTTAGCTTGCCGATTGGTGTTATCCCTTTAGATCACTCGAGGTCACTCTGGTGCCTGATCTGTCTTCTATCCTATGATTCCCTCTTCCATGTATTCTACCCCCACCCACTCAACTTCCTGTTCCCCCATGACCAACTCTCTTCCTCTTCACCCCCTCTCTTCTTCCCAGGTCCCACTCCCCCCACCCCTCGCCGTGTTCCCCATCCATTCAGAGGATCTTGTCTCAATCCTCTTCTCTTGGGTACTATGCATATATGCATATCTTTTAGGTTCTTTCCTGTTCCCCAGACTATCAGTGGAAGTGCAGACTAGCACTATCCTGATCCATGTCTAACATCCATATATGAGTGAGTACATACCATGTTTGTCTTTTTGCGACTGGGTTACCTCACTCAGGATGGTTTCATCCAGTGCTATCCATTTACCTGCGAATTTCAAGATTCCATTGTTTGTTTCTGCTGAGTAATACTCCATTGTGTAAATATACCACATTTCCTCTATCCACTCTTCAGTTGAGGGGCATCTAGGTTGCTTCCAGGTTCTGGCTATTACAAATAATGCTGCTATGAACATAGTGGAGCAGATGCCCTTGTTGTATGAATTTGCCTCATTTGGATATATGCCTAAGAGTGGAATTGCTGGGTCTAGTGGTAGATTAATTCCCATTTTCCTGAGGAATCTCCATACTGATTTCCAAAGAGGCTGTATGAGTTGGCACTCCCACCAGCAGTGGAGGAGTGTTCCCCTCTCTCCACATCCTCTCCAGCATAAATTGTCTTCCGTGTTTTTGATTTTAGCCATTCTGACAGGAGTAAGATGGTATCTCAGAGTTGTTTTGATTTGCATTTCCCTGATGGCTAAGGATATTGAGCACTTTCTTAAGTGTCTCTTGGCCATTTTAGTCTCCTCTATTGAGAATTCTCTATTTAGTTCTGTACCCCACCTTTTAATTGGATCCTTTGGTGTTTTGGAGACTTGTTTCTTGAGCTCTTTGTAAATTTTGGAGATTAGCCCTCTGTCAGATGTGGGGTTAGTGAATATCTTTTCCCATTCTGTGGCCTGCCTTTTTGTCTTTTTGACTGTGTCCTTTGCCTTACAGAAGCTTTTTAGTTTCAGAAGGTCCCATTTGTTAATTGTCAATCTCAGTGCCTGTGCCACTGGTGTTACGTTTAGGAAGTGGTCTCCTGTACCAACTTGTTGAAGAGTATCTCCCACTTTCTCTTCTAAAAGTTTCAATGTGGCTGGATTTATGTTGAGATCTTTGATCCAAATTTTGATAATTAGCATGCTCTCTCTCTGTCTTTTGGTTAGTTTGGACAGAGCTTTGTCTATTTTGTTGATTTTCTCAAAGAACCAACTGTTTGTTTCATTGATTCTTCTCAATATTTTCCTGGTTTCTACTTGATTGATTTCAACCCTCAATTTGATTATCTCCTGGCGTCTGCTCCTCCTTGGTGGGTTTGCTTCTTTTTGTTCTAGAACATTCAGCTGTGCTATTAACTCTCTGATATGACTCTTCTCCAGTTTCTTCATGGGGGCACTTAGTGCTATGAACTTTCCTCTCAGCACTGCTTTCTGAGTGTCCCATAAATTTGGGTATGTTGTGTCTTTATTCTCATTGAATTCCAGGAAGTCTTTAATTTCTTTTTTTTATTTCTTCCTTTACCCAGGGATGGTACAATTGTGTATTGTTCAATTTCCGTGAGTTTCTAGGGTTTCTGCAATTTGTGTTATTGTTGAATAACACAAATTGTTGATGGCTCAGTGGTTAAGAGAAATGGTTGCTTTTCCAGAGGACCCAGGTTCAACTACCAGCATTCACATGGTAGCTTGAAACTGCCTGTAACTCCAGTTCTAGGGGATCTGACAATATCATACTGGGCCTCTTTTCTTAATGAAAGACCTTACCCCAGCTCACCTGGTGTGCTGGTTAGAACTCAATTGACCCCCATAGACTCACATAATTGAATGTTTCATTCCCAGTTGGTAGACTGTTCAGGAGGGATTAAGAGGTACGGTCTTGTTGGAGAACATGTTTAACTACTGATGGGGTTTTAAGTTCCAAAAACCCATGCCAGGTCCAGTCTAAATCTCTGGCTCCTGCTTGTGGATCAGGATGTAAACTCTCAGCTACTACTCCTGGGATGCTCAGGTGACTATGGAAAGAAAGAGGAAGTGAGTACAGGAGTACTTGGGAGGGGGATGCAGTGGCTCAAATTCCATTAAAACACCTGCATTAGTGGAGAGGGTGCCTGAACTAATCTTCACCTGTATTCAGATTGATGACTACCTGAATTTTCATCATGGGACCTTCATGTAGCAACTGATGGAAGCAGATGCAGAGATCCATAGCTAAGCACTTGGCCAACCTCCCAGAGTGTCCTATGAGCCCTCTAAGCATGCAAAAGGGAGATCTCAATAATGCCTTTAGACTGCAGTGGAAGTATCAGGCAGCCATCCTGCACTCAGAGGAATTGCTTTACAGCACCCAAGTCAGACTGTGCCGTACCCTTGTCTATCTCTTAGTGGCAAGGATAGAACATGCAAGATTCACCATTTTCATCTACTGATCCTAATAAACCTAGGCTGTGAAAGTTCTGATTTGAGTGAAGTTGATGATTGACACCACAATTACGCTAACTCTTCTCTGTCTCAGATTGGGACTTGCTTTGGATGCTATGCATTCCTTAGGTATCCCCCGATTCTTTCCATGCACAAAGGTGCAGCGAGGTGTCCAGTGAAGCCCTTCTTGCTCTTCTGGGTTTATTTATCACCATAAGCTTCCATCTCCTTGCACCTCACTTCAAAGATCATCATATTTTGACACTGTACAATTTGGCAGACCTAAGCTTCAGATCAGCCTGTTGTTTCTGAGATGCCTTCCCCTATCTAATGCAAATGGTTCAACTTCTTTTGTGTCAACTGGTGTGGATGAGGCCAGAGTAGAAGCATATCCAGGCATCAGAGAATTTTGCATACATCTTTCCAATGTCAAAAGCTCATACCCTGTCTTCAGTGACTTACTGCCCTCATGGGATCCCTTGCTGCATGACATCTCTGACCATGAAACTCACCGAGTTCAGAACTGATGCCTGATACTCTTACAGAGACAGATAAAACTTGGTGAAGTGCTCCTACTTGGACCCTGGAAAACTATGATGCTTCATCCTGCAACATCAGCTTTCCTTGAAAAGGAATTTAGTGTAATTGGGTCCTTTCTGTCTGAAGGTGGATAAGCGCAGTCCAAAAAGTGGTCAGATTGTGACCAATATGTGTGTGCAAATTTTTCCCTGTTCCTTTTGTTTACTTTCTGAAGTAGAGCTCATATTCTTTTTTATTTCTTGGGAGGCCAATGAGTTTACTAGGGTGTGGTGTCTGGGTGAGAGGTTGCTTACAGGAGCATGGAGAACTGAAAAGTCATCAGCCTGAGTGATGTCTCAGGAGAGCTGCATCCCTAGAGATCTATGGTGGTTTTCACACAACCCAACAGATCCAAGAGTCTCCTCTCCTTAGTAGTCTACTTCTTTCAGAGTTGGCACTTGAAAGAACAGATGTTTGTATGTTTTCAGCACAGGATTCAGCAGAGGCCCCCAAGGAGACGACAGGACACATTTAAGCATGGAGTCTACCCTTAACAGTAGCCATACATCTGACTTTGGTGGCTTCTGGAATTACATGCCAAGAAACCTCTTCTCTGTTGTTGAATGCAATCATGGGATGTGGTACTGTAAACAAGGTTCACTGTCTTCCCTGTGAGGTTCCCAGAACCTTGTACCATTATACCTGGCAGAGGAGTAAAGTTGAGCATAGTTAGACCTACAGCACAATGAAAGCTCTTATAATATTCTGTTTTTAAAATATTATAAAAGGAATGTTGTCTCAGTGTAAATAATCTGCACAGCTGACATGATTGTGTTGGACTTCTTACTGTGTTTTCTTTTAGTATATGCTAATGATACACAATAATGAGTTTCAGTATGACATTTTCATACATGTGAATGAGGTATTTGTTCCTTTTTATTCTCCTATTACTCTCACTTGTCCCTTTCTCGTTTTTGCTGAATTTTACCACTAGGTTTCTGCTTCTCTCTATTTCTAGTTCCTAATCTCTCTGTCCTGTATGGTTTTTGTTTGTTTGTTTGTTTGTTTTCTGATCTAGCCACTCCTCAGTAGGTACCAAGGTCTCTTATCATACTGCTAACTGGTCAGGGGCAGATATTTCCTGCTGTTCTGCAAGTATGCAAGTTTGCAGGTAGCACCTTCCTTCCCCAGGCCCTGGCACAGCACCTGTGACACAGCTGCAGCAGTGGCTTCTGTGAGAGGGGAAGGAGCATTTTAAACTCCAAAGTCCTCTGCAGTTTTGCTTCATTTTAGCTCTCCTGGCTATCAAAACACACACAAGGGAATATACAATTATCTGACCAACAATTTCCTTCTTATACATTCCCTTAATAATCTTGAAGGCAGTCACCACCTTGACTATATTTATCAGCCCCTCCAGGGACAAACATTTGCCATATTCCCATATAAGCTATAACCTCTTTAAACCTTTATTTTTAACCTGTGTTACTCCTAAGAACTGTATAAGATCCTTCTTTTTCACCCTAATTCCTTGTATCCTGAGGGCTTCTTTGAGCCGGGAAAGAAAGACAGAGTTTTGAGAGAATGCCTGTCCCATCACTTATATTGGCTGTAAGATCTGCGCCATTGCTCACCACCTCACCTGTCTTGCTCTTTTCGGCGGGTCACCGAAGACTGTGCCATCATCTGGGGTATGACCTGAAAAGGCCCTTCACTCCATGAGCGGCATCTTCCTCCTGGCTATCCGACTTCAGTTCACGCTGGGCACCAAATATGTCCCGACCCGCAGGACATTCAACGTGGGTCTGGTGGACACCTAGGAGAAAGATGGAGAACAGGGGATACAGGAATGGACGCCAAGACAGGATTCTGATCAAGGCTACAACATTCATACAAAGGGATTTATATAGGAGAACTGAGGAGGGAAAGGGGGAAGGTGTACTTGCAGCTGCAGGGGCAAGAGGTCAGTGGGAGAGGTGGTCTGCTGTGTTGCCTGCCTACCTAATCTACAGGGCAAGAGGTCAAGGGTAGAAATTCCTATGTTGCTTGCTAACCTGACAGCAGGATCTGATCCTATCTATTATAATTTACTGCTGCTCAGGCCTGTTTCCTGAGGACCTTGTAGTTTTTCCAATTAAGCTAATCTTTAACTGACAGGTAAACCGCAGGCTTGTTACTTGGAATTTGCTTTATGTCAGAAGGGGTGGCAGGGTGGTCTTAGTGTCATGTCTTCTCTATGATTACGTGATATAGCCTAGCTGACTGATGGCTGGAGGTCCCTGACATCTCAGGGCAATGATACCCAAAGAGATTCCTTTCCACGTCCTTTGTTAATAAGCAGTGTTAGTTAGAATAAGAGTGTCCCTCATAGATGAGCATGTTTAGGTACTTACCCCGCTAGCTGAAGCTGAGAAGGAGCAGGAGGTGTCACCTTGTTGGAGGAGGTGTCAGCAGGGGTCACAGAGCATTAAAGATTCAAAATCCAAATGCATTCAAAGTCATCTCTGTGTGTGTCACACTTGAGAATCCGAGGTAAGTCATCAGCTACAGCTCCAATGCCATGTCATCCTGTCTGTTGCTAGTTTCCCATAACAATGGGCATGTACTGTCACCCTCTGCAACTGTGGACCCCTAAGTTCCATGCTTTCTCTCCTAAGTTGCCTTGGTCACAGGGCTTCATCATGGCAATAGGTTATAAATAGCAGGAAGGAAGCTAATTCAGTGAGTGAACGCCAGAAAAGAATGTATTTTTGCAGAGTGGTGGTGGTGCATGTCTTTAATCCCAGAACTTGCGAGGCAGAGGCAGGTGAATCTCTGTGAGTTTGAGGTCAGCCAAGTCTACAGAGCCAGTGACAAGATAGGCTCCAAAAGTACACAGAGAAACCTTGCCTCAAAAAACAGAAAAAAAGAATGTACTTTGTGTCTGACTTCATTACCTCCCAGGCCTTGGGAATCTGGGAAATGTTACACAAAACAGAGAGACAAGTGTCAAGCACTCCTTGCCAAGACCTGATGACCCACTGCCCCATCACTTCCAGTAGGACTGGGCATGTAGGCTTCCCCAGAAACTCGTGTATGCAAGCTGTCCTCAGATATAGCCACGAGAGTGGATTGAAATGTGCTAAACTGACACAATGCCCATATTCCCAAGAACAATGCCAGCATTTTCAGCACAGAAAAAAAATCCCAAGGATCACTGGTGATATGTTGAGATCATGCTTCAGAAACTTGTATTCCACCCCAAGAGACACTCATGGAACTCAAATTGCTTTATGAAAACCAGTGGTTCTAAACCTGATGGTCTCAAGCACTTTGGGGGTGGGTTGACCATTTCACAGGGTCACTTAAGACCATCATAATACACAGATATTTACATTATGACTCATAATAGTTATCAAATTATGTATGAAGTAACAATTAAATAATTGTATGTTTGGAGGTCATCACAACAACAAGAACTGTACAAAGAGTCACAGCATTGGAAAGGTTGAGAACCACTAATCTACAGGATCCTGTCAGACAACACTCTGGATCCCCTGTCATCTGGACAGACCCCGCTGACTCAGTGATCTGATCACAGCCTGCATGGTGACCAGGAGGACTCTACAGACACCCCACTCAGCAAGAATGCACACTACATCATTGACTGACATCTTGTACCAACCTGAAAATGAATGTTTGCTAGACCCTGAATGTGGGCACTGGACACAAATAGTCCAAGGATGTTGGCCTTGTCTGGAGTGATGTTCCACAGCCTTCTCAAGCCCTACTTACCTTTTCACAGTAGACAGGAGACATTCTGTCATTTTAGTCAATTGAAGGCAAAGCATCCCTCACTGGAATAAAAATATTATACCAGTTTCTCGTCCTCTGAGACAGGGGAAGAGCATCACACAAGCCTGGTGAAAGCTGCCCATGAAGAAAAGAATGCAGATGTCAGTTACCTGATTAGTCCAAGACTGGTTAGAACAGAAAGAAAAAGAGACTCATGGGAAGGGTTTGACTTGACCTACCTGGGGTGGCATGCTCTTCTACTCATGGGAACCCGTGCCCTGCACCCCCAACTCTGCTCTGCAGGAAATTTGCTCCTGCTTCTGCCCGACCAACATCTCAGCCCCAACCACACATGCTCCTCCCTTTCTTACAGCTGCCTGACTGGAACTAGAACTTCCTATGGGAAGACTCTCCTCCCTTTCACCCAGCTCATGCCCTTGCCTCCTCACTGTCTCCCTTTCCTCTCCCTGGGTCACACACGCCCCTCTCCTCCTCTCTGCGCCTCACCCTGGGTCTCCTCACATCCTGGGCTTACAGACTGTATGCACTTATTTACATCTGATCATTGATGAGCATGAAGATTAGGGTAGGACTGATGCAGACCTCAAGTCATGTGGAACACGAAGTTGTATAACATGGTTGCAGAAGCTGGATGGTTGACTCTTTAAAACAAGGTGGCCGGGTGACTGACTTCTCTGTCCTGCAATAGCTCTGGGTCAGCTGTAGATTAAGTTGTAGGAGCTAACAGCTCCCACTGCAGGGAGAGGAGGAGGGGTAGAGAGCTTGTGTCCAGATTGTTGGAGGTATCTGATAGGGAACACCATATTTGGGGTACACAGCTCTGTCAGGTTCTGGCCTGGCTCCCTCCTGTGGCTGGTAGGCCACACCAGGCCGAACTGAGTCCCATGGCTTAAGAACCATGGACCCAGGCCTGTTCTTCAGACCTTGAAAGAGACACAAGCAAAGGACTCTGTTAGTGACTGTGACATCGGCACAGTGACTTAACACAGAGCCACCCTGATGTCCCATAGCTCTCCATGTCTTTCCTCTCCCCTAACCTGTTCTCAGTCCCCAGGCCCAACTCCCATCTCCTTCTCTGCACTGTCCCTGGCTACATCCTTTGCTTGTCTGCTCCAGGCTCTACTTCCCCAGGATCCACATAAAGGGGTCCACTGAGAAAGCTCCTTCTCGGGCCACAGACATCTTAGGGTTCATGTCCTATGCCTGGGAGCAGAGTATCAGTGGCAAAGGGCCTTGCAATTCATAGCTGAAATACACAAGGGGAAGTCACTGACCATTCCTACTGGGATTCCTTGGGACCCCATTTCCAATGCCTTGCTGTCCCTTACCTGGGGACTGTATCTTCTGCCTTTGGGGTGAGGAGGCAACAGAATAAACTGGAAAACAGATGACAAATTTGCCTCCTCACCTCTTTCCAGCCCCTTCTGTGTTTCTTCTTGGAGGCCGTGGCTACCTCCTGGGACTGGTCCTTATTAGATATTGGTGGTGACTCCTCAACTTGTATTTCGTTGTCATTTTCATATCCAGTGTTCTCACACTGGGGAGCATCCAGGATGTCGATTGTATCATGTGCTCTCTCACTGCATTGTGCATCAGTTTTCTTCAGGACTCCAGATGTGCTGATGCTAGCAGGGACCTCAGCACCCTGCTGTGGTCCTGGCCTCCCTGTGCTGCTGTCTGCCCTGAACCAGAGCCCTTCGAGGGGTGTGAAGCTAAGCATGGTGTCACTGCTCGTCTCCTCACTCTCATCCTCCTCAGCATCGTGGGGAGCTGAGTTATCATAAGCACTGGTGTCCGTCAGGCAGGAGAGGTAATCCTCAGATGTGTCACTGTCATCAGATGAGGCAGTGCTGTCAGTGTCCTCTGTTGTTTTATTCTTAATGTAGGCAGACACAGGAGAAACCCGTGGGGCAGAATTCCAAGGCCAGCTCATATCCAGCAGCTTATACAAATCTGGAGAGCTGGACCTAGAGGAGCTCTTGCTCTTTGTCACTTTACTTACCTCCTGTGTTTTGGTGTCTTCAGATGCCACGAATGTGGGCAAGGCGGGTTCACTCCTTGCCCTCCTTAGGGTAGGACGGGCAGTGGGAGGACCTGTAGGACTCTTGGGAGAATGGGTCTTTGGGACATGCCATATTTCTCCTAGGATGTTACCACCACGTTTTCTCCCGCTGATCACATTGATTTTTGTCGGGGCATCATTAAGCCTATTTTTTTCTATGAGTCCCAGGGTTTCTTCGGCCATGGGGCCTAAGCAGCACATAGCATCTACAATGGTGGAGATGGACAGCCTGGAACCAGTTTCTCTGGATGGTGATGAAAAATCTCCATCCAAGAGATTCATGAACAGAAATTGTTCCTTCATGTTCACCACCATGACAGGTGGGGTTTGGACCGCCACAAGATGCTACAAGTAAAAAGACACAAATATGCTTAGGAGAAAAGTTTGTGGCTCTAAATTATAGTTCATGAAAATCATAGCTACCTCAACTTCTTAATGATTATCTTGGGATCAGAGGATTAAATAAAGCCAACCCAAACCCCAAAGGAATTATGAGAAAGCATAAGAAAGATCAGAGTTGAAGTAAGTGGTTGCTTAGAGATTGAAACAAACACCAAAGAAACAAAGATCAAATGAAAGATGTGGTGATTTGAAAGGATGAAGAAGTCTGACAATCCCGTGTCAGCCAGAGACATGATAGGCATCATTGAAATGTAAGTCAGGACACAATGTATGAATGAAAGACAAGTAAAATCTAGGGCATTGGGTGTGTGTGTGTGTGTGTGTGTGTGTGTGTGTGTGTGTGTGTGTGTTATGAATTAACTCTAGAGAGGTGATATTAAGGAAAGAATGTGATTTCTTGGAAAGAGTCACCAGCATTGATAAGATGTTATTAACGCTACTTAACCTGCTGCCTGCCAGCTACTTCACTCTCTGTGTGATGAATAATTGTGGATGTTACAAACCATGCAAAGGCATCAATTTAGGGATAAGATGGAAAGAGTAATGCAATTTTTGCTAACAAGGACATCCCAGGACAGCAGATTGCAAGATGGACTTACCTACTGACCTCACAGTATAATGGAGACAGATTATCCTCAAGAAACATCACCAAACACAAGGAAAGACAACTCCAAACTTAGTCTTAAAATCTAGTATACCCCTGAGGTCAAACATATAGTATACACACACACACACACACACACACACACACAGAGGCAATACACAGTTGCTGGTGCCCTAGTGCACACTCATGTACACATAATGCTACAAATAGGTACATGCATGTACACACACAGGTTCATGCACTCACACACACACACAGACATAAATGCACACACACACACTCACGCATGCACACAAGCTTGAGTACACTCGAATGTCCTTGATGAACATTCAATTGTACATCTGTTATCACTTGGTAATTCACACAAAGTTCAAAAACACATGACACAGTTGATGCTTCAGGTTCACAGTGAGTTCAACAGGGGTTCCTAGGATAATTCCACAGGAAAACTATTGGACAAGAAGCATGGAAGGAGGTCCAGTGAGGAGGCCCATGCTCAGCCACAAAAAATGAAATTGCATCATTTTCTGAAATAGAAATAGACATGTGGGAGTGACTGGGGAAGGCCCCAGAGCTTCTCATCCCAACAGGAGGCAAACACGTCAGATCCCATGTCTTCTCTTCCAACGAGGAGACCAGGGGACCAGCTGGTCCTGCGGGACCAGGTAAAACAGGCCCTGCATCCAGGCCTGCATTCCAGTGCCTGGGGATTGCCTGGGAACAGCACAGAGCTTCCAATCCTGGCAGGAGCCAAGCAACCCAGATTCCAGGTCTTCTCTTCCACCAAAGAGACCAGGAAAACAGCAGATCCAGGTAAGCAAGGCCCCCATCCCGGGCATGCCTTCCTCCCGGGCATGCCTTCCAGTGACTGGGGAAGGCGACAGAGCTTCCCATCCTGGCGGGAGCACCCCAGATCCCAAGTCTTCTCTTCCAGCAAAGGGACCAGGGGACCAGGTGGGAGGCTAAGCACCCCAGATTCCTGGTCTTCTTCCCCACCCCCATGACCAGAACTAGGATGAGGAATAGAAGAACTACCAGATTATTGGACTTGCTAGCACCCACTGAAAGGGAACTTTGGTCCCCTAACCACCAGACCAGTAAGGGGCTCTTTCTGCACACACTAGAAGAAGAGATGGGAAAGAGATAATACAAAAACACACTCAGCAACAGAAAAACAAATATGACACCACTAGATTCTAGAGACCCCACACCAGCAAGACTCCCACATTCCAATGCAAATGAAGCAGAAGAGAATGACCTTAAAAACACCTTCATGAAAATGATAGAGGATATAGGAAAATCCCTCAAAGAAATGGAAGAAAAAACAAACCAAAAAATGCAAGAAATGGAAGAAAAAACAAACCAAAAAAGGCAGGAAACAGAAGAAAAAACAAACCAAAAAAGGCAGGAAACAGAAGAAAAAACAAACCAAAAAAGGCAGGAAACAGAAGAAAAAGCAAACAAAAAAATGCAAGAAATGGAAGAAAGAACAAACCAAAAAATTCATAAAATGCAACAAATGGATGAAAAGAGAAACTGAAAATTGCAAGAAACAATTCAAACAATGCAAGAGTTGAAAACTGAAATAGAGACAATAAAAAAAAACCACAATCTGAAGAAAGGCTGGAAATAGAAAAGCTAGGCAAAGGGTCAGGTACTACCGATACAAGCATTACCAACAGAATACAAGAGATGGAAGAGAGATTCTCAGGTGTTGAAGATACACTAGGAGAAATGGATTCTTTGCTAGGAGAAATGGATTCATCAACCAAAGAAAATCTTAAGTCCAACAAATCCTTAACACAAAACATCCAGGAAATATGGGACATCATGAAAAAACCAAACCTAAGAATATTAGGTATAGGAGAAGGTGAAGAAAACCACCTCAAAGGGGCAGAAAACATATTCAACAAAATCATAGAAGAAAACTTTCCCAAACTTAAGAAAGACATGCCAATGAAGGTACAAGAAGCTTAGAGAACACCAAATAGAGTGGATCACAAAGAAACAAAATCCCCTCACCACATAATAATCAAGACCCAAAATATACAGAATAAAGAAAGAATATTAAGAGCAGCTAAGGAAAAAGGCCAAGTAACATATAAAGGCAAACCTATCAGAATTACACCTGACTTCTCCATGGAAATTCTGAAAGCCAGAAGGTCCTGGATACATATTCTACCAACACTAAGAGACCATGGATGCCAGCCCAGACTACTATACCCGGCAAAGCTCTCAATCACTATAGATGGAGAAAACAAGATATTCCATGACAAAACTAGATTCAAGCAATACATATCCACTAACCCAGCCCTACAGAAAGTTCTGGAAGGAAAACTACAACCCAAGGAAGTTAACTACAACCAGAAAAACATAGGCATTAGAGAATCCCATTCTACCAACAGCCAAAAGAAAAAAGGGGTGGAATTCCACACATAATGCCAACAACAACAACCTTTCCAAATCAAAGAAGAATGAGCAATCAATGGTCATTAATATCCCTCAACATTAATGGCCTTAACTCACCCATAAAAAGACACAGGCTAACAGAATGGGTTCGAAGACAGAACCCATCCTTCTGCTGCATACAAGAAACACACCCTCAAAGACAGACATTACCTGAGAGTTAAAGGTTGGGAAAAGATTTTCCTATCAAAAAGACCCAAGAAACAAGCAGGGGTAGCAATCCTAATATCTAACAAATTAGACCTTAAAATAAAATCAATCTAAAGAGATAAAGGAGGTCATTACATACTCATCACAGGTGAAACCCACCAAGATGAAGTGTCTATCCTGAACATCTATGCCCCAAGTACAAAGGCATCTACGTTTGTAAAAGAAACATTACTAAAACTTAAATCACATATAAAGCCCCACACACTTATAGTGGGAGATTTCAACACCCCACTCTCACCACTAGACAGGAATACCAGACAGAAACTCAACAAAGAAGCAAAGGGTCTAATAGAAGTAATGGCCCAACTGGGATTAACAGACATCTATAGAACATGTCTTCCACATAAAAAAGAATATACCTTCTTCTCACCACCACATGGAACCGTCTCAAAAATTGACCACATACTTGGCAACATATCAAACCTCAGCCGCTACAAAAAATTGGAATAACTCCATGCATCTTATCAGACCACCATGCGTTAAAATTAGAACTCAACAACAACACAAATTGCAGAAACCCTACAAACTCATGGAAACTGAATAATGCACAACTGCACCATTCCTGGGTCAAAGAAGAAATAAAAAAAGAAATTAAAGACTTCCTAGAATTCAATGAGAATGAAAACACAACATACCCAAACCTATGGGACACTTTGAAAGCAGTGCTACGGGGGAAGTTCATAGCACTAAGTGCCCACATGAAGAAACTTGAGAATAGTTACACTAGAGAATTAACAGCACAGCTGAAAGCTCTAGAACACAAAGAAGCAAACTCCCCCAGGAGGAGCAGACACCAGGAAATAATCAAATTGAGGGCTGAAATCAGTAAAGTAGAAACTAGGAAAACAACACAAAGAATCAATGCAACCAAGAGTTGGTTCTTTGAGAAAAATAACAAGATAGACAAACCTTTGTCCAAACTTAGCTAACAGCAGAGCGTGAACAAGCAAATTAACAAAATCAGAACTGAAAAGGGGGACATAACAACAGACTGTGAGGAAATTCAGAGAATCATCAGGTCATACTTTGAAAACATGTACTCTACAAAATTCGAAAATTTAAAGGAAATGGAAGGCTTCCTGGATAGCTATCACTTGCCAAAAATTAAATCAAGAACAGATAAGCAATTTAAATAGACCTATAACCCCTACGGAAATAGAAGCAGTCATTAAAAGTCTCCCACCCAAATAAAGTCCAGGTCCAGATGGCCTCATTGCAGAATTCTACCAGAAATTCAAAGAACAGCTTATACCAATTCTTCTCAAAGTATTCCACACAATAGAAGCAGAAGGGTCTTTGCCAAACTCTTTCTATGAGGCGTCAATAACCTTGATCCCCAAGCCACACAAAGATACACCCAAGAAAGAGAACTTCAGACCAATATCCCTCATGAACATTGATGCAAAAATACTCAATAAAATACTGGCAAATCGGATCCAAGAACACATCAAAACAATCATTCACCACGATCAATTAAGTTTCATCCTAGGGATGCAGGGATGGTTC